TGGGTGGAGTGGTGCAGGAGGAGGGTGGATAAAGGAGGAGAGAGGGGATGAGCAAGAGGGGATGGAAGAAAGGAGAGAAAGCCAAGACACACATGTGGTTGAAGGAGAGCGGGCAAGGTAGTCGCTGGCAGGCGAGCCTGCACAAATGGAGAGCAGAGATTGGGGAGCGTTCCAGCAGGGCGATGCCATTCGTTTCCATAGCGACAGGAGGGAAGGGCGCCAGAGCAGTCCAGGCCAAGGCGCTACAGGAAGCGAGCCAGTGAAAGTGTAAAGAGGCAGTAAAGACCGGGTGAGTGCACTGTCCTTCTGGTGTTGTTCTTCATGGAAAATCAAGGAAGAGGCAGCTTTAGCCGGCACCCCTCTCCTGACACAGTCTCAGAGGTGGAGAAAAATGCAGGCAGGGTGGCATGGGGGAGCACAGGTCATCCCCCCACCTCAGCTGACTCCTGGATGACCTGGTGGGCTGAGCAGCAAATGATCCAGGCTCAGGAGCAGCAACGTCTGTTGCAGCAATTAGCAGCACAACAGACGCAGCTCATGGAACAAGTTTTCACTGCCCAGCTCCAGAACCAAAGCTCTTTGCTTCAGCAAGTGCTGGGAGGAGGACAAAGCCCTCAAGCTGAGACCCTGGTGGGGCAGACAGGAGGAAAAGGCCTAGGGCCTATGCAGATCTCTAAAATGACCACAGAAGAGGATCCTGCAGCCTTTCTAAATACCTTTGAAAGGGTTGCCCTGGTGGCCAAGTGGCCCAAAGACCAGTGGACCCTCATCCTGACATGTTGCCTCACGGGTCCTGCCCAAGAAGCCATAGGATACCCTTACCCCGGAAGTGGCAGGCCAATATAATTTAGTAAAAGCAGCCATTCTAGGGATTTTGAATGTCTCTGAAGAGATCTATCGGATGAGAGGGGTTGTATATGTGACTGGCACCTCGCCCAGGGCTGTGGGACAGAAGATTCGGGCCAATGGGCTGAGGTGGATGAAGCCCGCAATCCGCAGCACTGAACAGGTGGCTGAGCTGGTCCTACTGGAACATTTTATAACCATCCTGCCCACCCCACCCAGAAACTGGGTTCAGTACCAGAGGCCCGAAACCCTAGAGGAAGCCATTGGTCTTATGGAAAACTTTGTGGTTGCTGAGGAGCCAGATCTAGGTGACAGGCCGGGTCCACCCTGGCAGGAGGGTCAGAGACAGAGAGCACCTGAGGGCCATGGCAACAGAGGCCCAGAGAGAACAAGAGTGTATGGACCAGTACCCACTGGAAGGGGTACGAGACATAAGGCAGTTGCCCAGCTGGAAGTGCATGCACCGGGGAGGGGGGTGAGCCCAGCTTTGCCACGACTTACAAATGGGAAAGGAAGAGGATCCCAGCTGAAGCAAGTGTGCTTTACTTGTGGCAAGGAGGGGCATTTCCGGAGGGACTGTCTGTTGATGGAGTGTGACTTCATGGAAGCCTGGTGGTCTGCCCCAGTGAGTACCACCCCTCAGCAAGCTTGGCGGGTTCAGGCCAGAGTGGATGGGAAAGAGGTTGAGGCCTTGGTAGACACCGGCTGTGGTCGCACCCTGGTTAGGCAAGCCTGGGGCAGCCCCTTGGAAAAAATACTGCAGGTGAAAGGTATACATGGGGATGTCAAGCCTTATGCCACCCGATGGGCTAAGGTAGAGGTAAAAGCGAAGGTACACCTATGCCAGGTGGGGGTTGTCCCCAGTTTAGCTTATGAAGTGGTATTTGGACGTGATTGGCCCCATTTTGAAGAGCTGGTGAGGGAGGTGAGCTCGGAGGTTGCCTTGGCAGGGGAGGAGGAAGTCGTAGGCCTTACAGCCCTGCGTACCTCCTGCAAGCAGCTGGTCTTTCTCCAGCAAAATGATGCCTCTCTTGTCCATGCCCTGAGACAAGCCCAGGACCCCTCAGGAGCAAGAGAGGGTGCAAGGAGTGGTCCCCACTTTGAGATTGCAGGGGATTGCTGTATAGGGTTGTACCTGCGCAGGAAGGACACAGAGAACTGCGACAGTTGGTGATTCCTGAATCCCTGAGACTAACCATTTTATGACTAGCCCATGACCTGCCTACTGCTGGCCACCTAGCGGTGGAGAAAACCACTGACAGGCTTGTCCGGAGGTTCTACTGGCCAGGGGTATATGCTCAGGCCCTGTTTGTCCTGTCCAGAATGCCAGAAGACTCAGAGGAAGAGGGCCCCTGCAGGGCCCTTGATGCCAATGCCAGTTATAGGGGAGCCCTTTGAAAGGATTGGGGTGGACCTGGTAGGGCCCTTGGAGAGGTCAGCACAGGGACACCAATATATACTGGTGGTAATTGACTATGCAACTCGATATCCTGAGGCCGTGCCTCTAAGAAGTACTTCAGCTTGGGTTATCTCCCAAGAGCTGTTGGGGGGTTTTGCCCGGGTGGGCTTCTCCAAGGAAATTTTGACAGATCAGGGCACTAATTTCATGAGTCAGGTGGTGAGGCAGATGTGGGAACTGTTGAGGATAAGGCCCCTACACACCATTGTCTATCATCCACAGACCAATGGTCTAGTGGAATGTTTTAACCAGACCCTTAAACAGATTCTTAGAAAGTTTGTGCCGACCTATCCGTGACAATGGCATGTTTTGTTGGGGTCCTTGATGTTTGCGATACGGGAGGTACCTCAAGCCTCGTTAGGGTTTTCGCCATTTGAGCTGCTATACAGGTGACACCCCCGGGGAATTCTAGACCTGGTCAAGGAGCATTGGGAGACATCAGCCCCAGAGCCCACCTCTACCCTTCAGTATGCGTTGGATATGAGAAAACACCTTTCTGACCTGACTCAACAGGCCGAGAGTAATTTAAGGCAGGCCCAAGGAGAGCAGCAGTACTATTACGATTGGCACATCCAACCCTGGATGTTTCAACCAGTCCAGTGCATTCTCCTGCTCCTGCCCACAGGAGGGGGCAAGTTGTTTGCTCAGTGGCAGGGGCCTTGTGAGGTTGTTAGGAGGGTGGGGCCAGTGGACTATGAGATACGCCTCACGGATAGGTGACGCTTGACCCAGATTTACCATGTAAATCTACTCAAGGCCTGGAGAGAGAGGGAGAGTACCATTCATCAGGCAGACTGCACAGCCAAGTCGCCCAAGGCTCAGGCTTTAACCTCTGGGAAGTTATCTCTTGATCCACAACTAACACCCACTCAAACAGTGCAAGTCTGGGCCTTGGAGGCAGAATTTGCTGAGATATTCTCTGACTGACCCGGGCACACGATGGTCATAGCTCACCATATACAAACGGTCCCAGGGGCCATCGTCAGGGTATCAACTCATCCCTACCTGCCGCAACTGAAGCCAGTGTTAGTAGAGGAGGTAAGATGGATGCTCCAGATAGGGGTCATTGAGGAATTGGTGAGCACTTGGAGAAGTCAGCTGGTCTTGGTTCCCAAGCAGGATTAAAGTGTCCGTTTCTGTATTGATTTCTGAAGGGTAAATGAGGTATCAAAGTTCGATGCATACCCCATGCCCCGAATAGAAGGGTTGCTGGATCCTCTGGGGCAGGCCCATTTCCTTTCGACACTAGATCTCACTAAATCCCATTGACGGAAGAATCCAAAGAAAAAACAGCCTTTGCCACCCCTGTAGGGCTATTTCAATTTAAATACATGCCCTTTGGGTTACATGGGGCTGCCACAACCTTTCAGAGGCTTATGGATAAAGTCTTGGGACGTTTGTCTCATTGTGCGGCTGCATATATTGATGACATTGTCATTTTCACTCGTAGCTAGGCGGAACATCTAGACCACCTCCACCAAGTTTTATTGACTCTAAGGCAGGCCGGGTTGATGGCTAATCCGGGCAAGTGTAGAATAGCATGACAGGAGGTGCAGTATTTGGGGTATATCGTAGGTCACGGGCAGATACGACCTATGGTGGATAAGGTGGAGAAGCTGAGCCAGTGGCCACGGCAGCGCACAAAGAAGGAAGTACAACAGTTTCTGGGCCTGGCCAGTTACTATCGGCAATTCATCCCTCATTTCTCCTCCAAAGCGGCCCCCTTGACAGAGGCGCTTAAGAAAAGGCAAAGCCATACTCTAGTATGGTCTGAGGAGATGGAACAAGCTTTTGAAGAACTGAGAACCTGTCTCCTCAGCCAGCCTGTTTTACAGTAGCCAGATTTCTTCCAGCCTTTTATTCTCCAAACCAACGCCTCAACTGTGGGCTTGGGAGCAGTTCTGACCCAGGGAGAAGGGGCAGCTGAACATCTGGTACTCTACTTGAGCTGTAAGCTGGAACCTTGAGAGTGTCGGTACTCTAAAATAGAAAGGGAAGTGCTAGCTGTCAAATGGACTGTTCTAGCACTGAGACATTATCTCTGGGGAGTCCCATTCACATTGGTCGTCGACCATGCTCCATTACAGTGGTTGAATAGGATGAAGGATGACAACCCCCACCTCACCCGTTGGTATTTAGCGTTACAGCCATATGCATTTACAGTCAAGCATAGGTACGGTCACCAACATGCTAACGCTGATTTATTTTCCAGCTAGGGTCCCTGGTCCTTACACGGAGATGGTGATCCCCTCTTGGAGGGGGGGTATGTGAGGAGGCAGCGGGGCTCACCCCTTTTCCTGGGGCCTTCCACAGAGCAGGGCTGAAGATAACAGGGCAAGGCTGAGAATCTGTGTGGGGAGAGCAACTTGCAAGAAGACAACAGCCAGGAGATGCATGCGAGTGCACATCTGTACGGGATTGTGGACTGAGGCAGGGACAGCTGGGTTAGGTGGAGTGGTGCAGCAGCAGGGCAGAAAAAGGAGGAGAGAGGGGGTGAGCAAGGGGAACAGAAGAGAGGAGGGAAAGCCGAGACACACGTGTTGAGAGCGGGCAATGCAGTCACTGGCAGGCAAGCCAGCACAAATGGATAGCGGAGACTGGGGAGCGTTTTGTTGGGGCAAAATCGTTCATTGCCATAGTGACAGGAGGGAAGGGAGCCAGAGCAGACCAGGCCAAGGCATTATGGGAAGCGAGCCGGTGAAAGTGTAAAGAGGAAATAAAGACCTGGTGAGTGCGCTGTCCTTCTGGTGTTGCTCTTCATGGAAAATTAAGGAAGAGGCAGCTTTAGCCGGTACCCCTCTCCTGACACAGTCACAACAATGCAGTAAAAGTGCTACACTCAATATGCCAGCAAATTTGGAAAACTCAACAGTGGCCACAGGATTGGAAAATGTCAGTTTACATTCTGATCCCAAAGAAGGGCAATGCCAAAGAATGTTCAAACTACCGCACCAATGCACTCATTTCACATGCTAGCAAAGTGATGCTCAAAATCCTACAAACTAGGCTCCAGCAGTATGTGGACTGAGAACTACCAGAAGTACAGGCTGGATTTCGAAGAGGGAGAGGAACTAGAGATCAAATTGCCAACATATGCTGGATCATGGAGAAAGCTAGGGAGTTCCAGAAGAACATCTACTTCTGCTTCATTGACTATGCTAAAGCCTTTGATTGTGTGGATCACAACAAATTGTGGCAAGTTCTTAAAGAGAGGGGAATATCAGACCATCTCATTTGTCTCTTGAGAAACCTGTAAGTGGGTCAAGAAGCAACAGTGAGAACTGGACAAGGAACCACTGATTGGTTCAAAATTGAGAAAGGAGTTTGGCAAGGCTGTATACTGTCCCCCTGTCTATTTAACTAATATGTAGAGCACATCATGAGAAAGGAGGGGCTAGATGAATCACCAGTTGGAATTAAGATTGCTGGGAGAAATATAAACAACCTCAGATATGCAGAAGATACCACTGTAATGGCAGAAAGTGATGAGGGACTAAAGAGCCTCTTGATGCAGGTGAAGGAGGAGAGCACAAAAATTGGCTTGAAACTCAAAATTAAGAAAACTAAGATCATGGCATCCAGTCCTCTCAGTTCCTGGCAAATAGATGGGGAAGAAATGGAGGAAGTGACAGATTGTATTTTCCTGGGCTCCAAGAGCACCCCAGATGGGGACTGCAATCAAGAAATTAAAAGACGCTTGCTCCTGGGGAGGAAAGCAGTGGCAAATCTAGATAGCATACTAAACAGCAGAGCCCTCACCCTGCCAACAAAAGTGCATAGAGTCAAGGCTACGGTTTTCCCAGTTGCAATGTATGGCTGTGAAAGTTGGACTGTAAGGAAGGCTGAGTGCCAAAGGATTGAGGCCTTTGAATTGTGGTGCTGGAGGAGACTCCTGCGAGTCCCTTGGACCACAAAGTGATCAAACCAGTCAGTCCTAGAGGAGATCATCCCTTACTGCTCTTTAGAAGGCCAGATAGTGAAGACGAAACTCAAATACTCTGGGCATCTTATGAGAAGGAAGGACTCCCTGGAGAAGAGCCTAATGCTGGAAACAATAGATGGCAAAACAGGAAGGAGACGGCAGAGAATGAGGTGGCTAGATGGGGTCACTGGGGCAGGTGTGAACTTAAGTGGACTCTGGGGGACGGTGGAGGACAGGAAGGCCTGGAGGAATGTTGTCCATGGGGTTGCGATGGGTCGGACACAACTTCGCAACTTACAACAACAACACATGTGGAAATGCAAAAAATACTTAAAATCAACTTTCCTATGAAGACTAATATGGTGCTATTGAGCATCATACCAGAGACTTTCCCAAAGATGAGGTCAGAGTTATTCAAATATACGATAACCATGGCAAGACTAACAAAGTGGAAAACTGAAGACTGTCCAGCCGTCGAAGTTTGGAAAGCAATGGCAAAACTAACCAACTATATTAATGGAAAACCAGCTAAAGAATCCTTTGAAAAATAGAAAGCATATCATGAGCAGTTTAACTAATGCTAAAGAAGATAGAATTCTTACAAACATCAATGATTTTTACTTTAATACTAAAGCTATGATATAATTAACAATTAGTTTTTTGAACTAGATTAATCTTCGATTGAGAATTAAAGTATTTAAACATGACCATAGCAGATAGAAACTTTCATCTTTTTATGAGTATGTTCAGATACTGAAATTGCATGCTATATTTGTGGTATTTTCCTTGGTATCCTTTCCCCCACATATTTCCTTTCACGTATTCTAATGTGCTTTATGAATTGGGGTTGGGGAAACAAAGAAATGACCCAAAGATAAAACTATTTCAGCTTTATTATTGGATTTTCTATTTTGGAAGTTTTGCATTGAACCAAGTAGCTTCATAGATGCACATTAATTCATACATATATGTCAGCATTAAATGGGATCATCCAATGCAGGAAGAATTTTGTTCTTCCACTTCTTCAGAAGTTTTTGGACAAGCAAGCCCTTTCAGACATGCATGTCACATCTGAAGCAGTCCATTCTAATAAGATGGAAATGCTTTCATTCAGTCTTATTTGGACCAGAAACTTTTCCTCTTGTCCATGCTTCAGCAGGAGGTTAAATGCCCCCACTTTGGAGTAAACTGTGGAACTAAACTATGGAATTTATTTCCATAGAGATATAGTGATGGCCACTATAGAAGTTACATAGATCTTTTCTTTTGCCATCACCCCATTGCTGAATTCCAGCGGCAAACCAGCAATTATTTCTATTGCAAGTGTAAATTCAACAGTGGGTGGATGCACACAAGGACGGTATGCAGCCTGCAGCCCACAGGTTGCTCACTTCTGCTCTGTAAATTGTCTCCCACATTAACTACCCCTTTGCTTCTGCAGAGAATATTCTCAGGACATTCAAGCAGTGTGGCCCATACTCCTCAACTAAGAAGATGCTCTTCTATTACATCAAGAATTTATTTTACATTGGTAGAGAATCCTCACTGTGGCAGATTCAACTTAAAAACATGTGATCTGGGATAAGATGTTGCTTTTGTGGTGCCTGTGGGGTTAAGAGACATCCACGTAATCAAATGACACTGGACAGGGTTGGATGAAGCCTCTCAGGAAATTCCACTAGAATTATCAAATGTGATTTGATTTTCCTCCAAATTCATTGACTATTATGCCTGAGAAGAAGTTTGGCTGCAAGGTGGTAAAGAAATGAGATAAATAAACAACAACAACTCTAAATTGCAATATTGATGAAAGCCAATGCCAGTCTGGGGATGAATACATGCATGGTGTTATTTATCCTGACCAGTGTGGTATACCTGGATTTCAGCAAGCCCTTTGACAAAGTGCCCCATGAAATCCTGGTGGAGAAACTGAGGCATTTTGGGATACACCAAAGCACTGTCCGGTGGATTAGGGCATGGTTGACTGACTGAAAGCAGAGGGTAACCATTAGTGGGAAATCATTGGGATGGTGGCCAGTGACAAGCAGGGTCCCCCAGGGCTCTGTCCTGGGGCCAATCCTGCTTAATTTTTTCATCAATGACATGGAAGAAGGGGTGAAAATTCTGCTGATCACATTCACAGATGATACTAAAACTGGAGCAGTGGCCACGACTGAGGAGCAGGTACTCCAGATCCAAAAGGATCTAGACAGACTATGGAAGTGGGCAGGAGACAACAGGATGGCGTTCAATGTGGATAAGTGCAAGGTCTTGCACTTGGGGCATAGGAATAGCTGTCATAAGTACAGGTTAGGTGACAAGTGGCTGGAGAGCAGCACTTGTGAAAGGGACCTCAGGGTACCGGTTGACTGCAGGCTAAGCATGAGTCAGCAGTGTGATGCAGTGGTCAAGAGGGCGAACGCCACCCTTGGTTGCATAGCCAGAAGTGTCGCTTCTAGGTCAAGTGAGGTATTACTACCACTCTATACGACTCTGGTGTGCCCACAATTGGAGTATTGTGCTCAGTTTTGGGCCCCTCATTACAGAAAGGATATAGCCAGGTTAGAGTAAGTGCAGCATAGGGTCACAAAGTTGGTGGCCGGTTTGCAGGGGATGGGGTATGAGGCGAGACTGAGGGAACTGGGTCTCTTCAGCCTGGAGAAGAGGATACTCAGAGGGGATATGTTGGCAACATACAGGTATGTGAGGGGATGTCACATGGAGGTGGGTAGAGACCTGTTCTCCCCTGCAGAGGAAGGCAGGACACGCTCCAATGGAGCAAAGCTCAGGGAACCAAGGTTCCATTTAGATGCCAGAAAGCACTTCCTGACAGGACCCTGA